TGCTGGAACTGCTACCTCCGCGACCCGACCACGGATAAGCGGGAGAAGATGGATGGATGGAATTTATAATAGAATTAGGGCTGTAACCAGCAATTAGTTCATCAATCAATTGATAATTGTTATCAACGTGATAACTATAATTATTTTAACCTGTATTTTGTGACACTCATATTACTACACAATTTATATGTTGAAACAAGACAGTACAAATGCAGATTCATTTAAACGGTCATCTGGGTATTTTCCTCATTGTCATTTTAGGCAGGAAAAGTTCAGTTAAAGGCCCCAGTTACAGGGTGCTAATATCAGCTAAATGAGATGATACAATCTGTAAAAAGGATGTGTTAATATGTCTGTGTATATCTTGTGGCTCCAGGGGCTTATGTGCAGGCTCTGTGATGGATGGAGAGATTTACTGACATCCTGCGTGTCCAATCCTCTCTGCACTGAAAGAGAACACTTGAGCTACAAGGTTAGCCCGGGGTAAATGTGTGATGATGTCTGCAGGGACAGCTGGTATTTCATGGTCTTTCTTTGAGTTACATCAGCTCAGCTCACATTTAGTGTTCTGTTGGAGCGTGAAGGAAGCTGTGACCTGTGGCACCATGGCAAAGAAGACATCATGAGAGCTAATGGGCTGAGGCTCAGGGAGTACCGGTAGATGTTCGATTGGTGGTTTTATCAATGTGTCCTTGGGCAAGATACTCAACCCCAAATTACTCCTGGTAGCATAGTTTGTGAATGTTTGTGTATGTTAGTCTCTCAGAGCAAATGGCACCTTGTATAAATGGATGTTAAGGGTTGTATATGTAAAAGTACTTTAACGGTTCACAAGAACTGGGAAACAACTATCAAAATCCAGTCTGATTACTTCCTCATAAAACATTTGCAAAGCCGATATTTTGAAACTTTTTTAATTGTTCAATGTTGACATCCATGTTTGCTAGCTTGCAGTCTACATATTCTCTACATTGGCAGACATATTGCTACATGTCTCGACGTAACCTACTTTGATTTTTTTGTTAATGAAACCAATCGGCATACTTGGTGCAATCAAAGATGGTTACAAATTGAAAACTTGCTATCTAAGCTAGCTAGCTCACACTTGCTTTTACTATGGGAACAGCCAAAACACACACTTAAGGCCATCATCTTTTTGGAACCAGAAGAGGCGAGGGGGGTTGGAGCTAAGTACAAACAAACACTGACCACAATATGTATAGTCAATCAAAATGTTACAATTAACTTCCATGAAGATATATTAGTTAATTTTAGTGCTTCTCGTTATCAAAAACTTGAAATCAGGATATTATCAGGGCTTTAGGTTGTGTGTAGTTGTGTAGAGATAATGGCCGTGTTGTGAAATGTGAGGTCAGTTGAAGCAGCTGGTGCTGTAACTGAGGCCGGCCAAGAGATATGAGCAGAAAACTCAAGGAGGGCGAGAGTGAAACAGATGAGTCTGATAGTTCTCACTCTTTAGATTTTCAGAACACTTTTCTGGGTTGCGTTCGGATAGTTTAAAAATCTGCTCCTAAGTTCTTCTAACCCTATCTCCTATTCCTTGACCTCTGAGTGAAACGTCACGGGTTTAAGGGATAGTGGATAGGAGAATTCAAAAGGACTTAGGAGAAGAGACTGCGGTACTTTAGAGAATCCGAATGCACTTTCACTATCCGACGTGTTTATGATGCGCCAGCCAGCATGTGTGCGTCTGCTGCTGTGGGGAAACTATGGAAACTACAGCTTTCTATACAACGGACAACAACATGGATGTTTAATAAGAACGAGAGACTCATCTAGAGACTCTGCACCGTGCTCTGATGCTGTTGCTTTATGCTTTATGAACAACAGAGAAACATATTCTTCATGACCAAAATTGGAATTGAAATAAAAAATGAAAGTGAAACTTATGCTCGTCACCCTCTCCCTCCGGTCCACATTAATACAAATGATCCCAATACGTATGATTGTATGAACTATGAAAATATCTTAAAATCAATACAAATGTATTTATTATAAACGTTAGTCTTTAACACCTATCACTGTATATATCACCATTCAAACATCTTTTAAAAGTTGAACAAACCCCACACAGCTCAGTGAAATGTTGACTTTATTTGATCATTTCAGTAAAAACTAACGTTCATATTTCTCTTTTTGATTATAATACTGATGAACGTTCAAAACAAAGCACTTTGGCAACTTACCACATACGTTTTAAAATGCTTAATAAGCACCGTTACTTTCATGATATAATTTCTCCGTCATAATCGTTTGAGTCCGTGAACGGCCGACTGTTGTGTGACGTCAAATGCTGCGGCTGCAAGGCATTGTGGGGCAGCATTTTCTCCTCTCCTTTCGGTTAGGGAGGTCCAGTGGTTGCTAAGCTAAAGGAGGTTATAAAGGAAGTTTGAAACCTCCTTTCCTATCATTCTAGAGAATTCAAACGGCACTTATGATGGCTGCCACTGAGGGACTTCCGGTTAATTTCACTCGGTTAGGAAGGTTCCTAAGCAAAATGGACTATTCGAACGCAACCTTAGATGTCCTTCAACATGGCACGCTGAAATCCATTTCCGGGTCACTACCAGAGGACAGAGGAGTCGAGGAGGGGAAATTAGTTAAATGAGAAAGGGCCCTTGCCTTGCCTGAGCAACAGTATGAAGTTAGGCTTGTTTGGACACACTGCAGAGGTCAGAGGTCAGGTAAAGTGCCAGATGCCTCACCTTTGCATTTCCCTCTGCCTACAGGGTTGTTTGGTGACACTGAAGACTTTGTTTGAGGATAATTTCCTCACCACCGGGATCTCTGTCATCGTCCTCTGCATTATCGAGGTAAACTGGTTATATTTACCATATAAATACTTCCAATTCATACCAAATAAATACACTTTTTTTGTTATCTTCTCCATACAAAATATAAGTAGGTTGTTTATAAGTGATTTTTTTGTCAATTTATGTTCGCAATTGATCTCACAGAAAGATGCTGCAATGTTAGTCTGTTTAGAAGTAAAGAAAGGCTGCAGAGTACGGAAGCTGGTGCTGCCATGGCTCATGGTAGCCCCCTGAATTAGATATACAACTCTATTTCCATTTACCACAAGTTGTACTCTTCTTTTTGAAATGTATGGTCAATAGACCTAATTTACACAAAATCAAACCTCATTTCTGAGTTAAAAAAGGAAAACATGTTGAATGATTTTGCGACATTGACCACAGATGCTACACATTCTACACAAAAAAAGCCTAATGAAGATGATCATAAGTATTTTCTCATGGAAAAACGTAGTATACAATCAAACATGTTATTTTATTAGACTTGTGTTGTGCCAAAATATAATTGAATGCAGCGTTAATAGAATATCCAAATCAGCTCAATTTAAAATAGCTTTAAGATAATACAATAAAATCGACTTAATTAATCCCAATTTGGGAAATGTTTTCGTTGCAGCAGCATGTAAAACAAGTATTGCACAAACAAAAAAAAAGTATAAAATAAAAATACATACAATATAAACATCTCAAAATAGTCAACTCACCTATTTGTGACACCATAATATTGGCACCATTTAGAAAAGGGAACATATGGAATCAAAGTCATTTTTTCTGTTTAAAATACTACATGAATGTTGAGGTTGTCTCATATAGGAACAGCTCATCAAATGTATACATCTCTTCTCCCAGATGATCTGCCTTTTACATTTCACCATGTTTCCTCTTGTTGGTCCTCAGGTGCTGGGAATGTGTTTCGCCATGACGCTCTTCTGCCACATCAGCAGATCTGGACTGGGCTACAAGTTATAGACTTTACAACTTTGATCTTTTATCTATGTTTTTCACAGTTAATATCCTTTAAGGAATCATGTCTAATCGATGATGCTGAGAAATCTGAAAAGATCAGAAAATAGTTATCTTGTGAAAATGTGATTTTACTAATCTTTGACCTTAGCATAGAAGAAAATAATGTATCAACTATAAATTGGAAGACCATTTTTAAGACATGACCGCGGTGTCCTTTAACGGAGTGAAGCTTTTTAGATGCTTTTCAGTCTGCACTGTGTGCAGGGAGACGACTGTTGCCGTTGGTTTCTCCAGACTTTTCTACATTGTGTCTTTTGAGAAGAATAATTGCAGTAGGAAAAAAGAGCTTTTTCTGTAAAATACATGACATATATTCTGTAACTTTCTAACAAAGACTCATCCTGTAATATACCAATAAAGTATTATTTACAGTATTTACACTGCTCTGCATCCTCCATTTTAACTTCATGTCGTCAGAGGATCAGTATTTCCTGTTCTTGCTCAGTTCACTGACGTGAATGTACATGTAACCACTTCCTCTTTAGACTCCATCTGTTGGTTCCTCTAAAATAAAAAAAACACCTGAAACTGACTTGAGTTCCTCTTAATCCACTATTTTAAGAATGGAGCACCCTTTAATTTAAATGTAAAGATTGATTGGTTCTTTGTTAAGAAAGCGTGATTGTTTTATTTCTAAGGAATGTTAAGAAAAACATTACAAACTAACTGACTTGAAAGACAAGCGAAGGCTTTTCAAACAGTTGGAAACAAGCAGGTAACACAGATAATTGCTTTTATTTGAAGAATAAATCCTGCATCAATATTTTAAGACAACAAAACTAAAAAAATACTAAGATATCATTTACACTTTAAAATAATTTTGTTCTTTTGAAACCACACAAAAATAGAGAAAAGTACAATTTTTGTAATTAAAAATGTAACTGTACAGAGAAGAACATACCATTTATTACAAACTGAAGACCCCTGACACCTCAGAAACTATAAACACAAGTATTGCAATATTCACCTAGAGATATGGAAAGACAAAAATCTATTCTGATACAGATCGCTCCGCCCCTTCTTCTCCGAAACAAGCAGCTGTTAGTTTGTTTCCCCTCGGCCGCCCCAGGAAGTCTCCAGAAGCAGCGCAGGCTCCTCTTTGTCATCCAAACGTTCAGGTCCATTTGAAAAGATTTTCAGTAACTGTGGCATTTGTTGCCATTGGATACCAGATGAACTGTCCTCTTTGGGAGACGCCTCACTTTCTGAACAGGAAGTAATGAGTTCTCCACTACACAGTCCCTCTGAGAGGCTATGCACGTATGACTTACATTCCCAGGAAACCTGGCCCACCAGTGCATCATGGACATTCTGTCTGAAAGACTATAAAAGCATTGTATTTAAAAAGGTGGGTTTCTTTCATTCAGCAGCCAAAAGGCTATTCAAATACTGAAAAGCTACACTTAAACGTCACAGCCCATATCACAAGTATTTTGAAGTGTTGTTATTAACAAATGCTATCGTAGTGAAAACCTATGAACAAAATATTGCAAAAAAGTTTGATATCTAGTTTGTGCTTAAGATGTTTAAAAGACAAGTCACTACAAATGCCCCTGCAGGAGACAGTATCAGAATAAAAGTTATTTGAAGGAGCAGACAGTACCGAGCCTAAAAAAACATTCTTGTTAGAGAGCGATGGCGAGTGTTGCAGAGAGTGATGTCCCTCTGCCAACATCTAACCACCTCACAGAACACATTAATAAATAAAGACAGAAACTAAGTCTTTCATAACTCTGCTTCACAGATCCCCACCCCAACAGGTTAAACCAATGCCCCCCCCCCCCAAACCATCAAAATAACTGGAATGAGTAAGAACAGTAAGGGTACCCAGCCCCTATCTTCACAACATTCAAATATTACGGTTTAAATATCTGGTCTGCGTTCAGTTCATTAATGACTGATGCATACAATATACAGCGGAGAAAAGCCAGTTCACAGAACACCCAACACCCCCCTCCCCTCCCCACACAGCTGGTCCATTTACACTTGAGGGTGACACTAAAATCCAAACCACTCAGTAGTATTATAAAGCTAATACTTCCAAGAGAATGACATATGAGAGCTGAGAACTCAGTATTATTGAGCCGTTCAAACACCACAGCAAGGAAGAGAGCAGGCGACTAACCCGTCGCCGTGAAGAAAACTAAATTAGTTATTTCAGATGTTACTTTTGAATCCAGGTGGATTTCTCTCAGTGGAACGAAGAATTCCCCATGCCACTGACACTGATGATGTGTCCACATTAGTTTACAGTTTTTGCATGGGACTAGGATTATAATCCCTGAAAGAGTTTAGCATGAATCAAAACAATTCTCCTGTAATGAATAAAGTCCCATGATGCATTTTATTCTGAACAGGACAAGTGTTGGGAAAGAACTGCAGACCCATCACAGGTAGACATCCAACAGTTGAGGCTTGTTGTGAGGCCTTTCCAATGTTACATTATGCCCATAATGCGTCAGGGACACGGCACACTTAATTACAACTAAAATGGCCGAGAGCTGCACACACCATCACACATCCACCATCGTTATTGATCATTACACAGTGAATAACAGTTGATTACTGATCAAACTGTGAGCCATCATCTACAAGTGAGTGTTTGTTTCTTTCCTTCTGTTCCAGAGCGCCAGGAAACACTGAGCTCATCCTTATTGCTCCCTCAGTCTGTTTGACAAAGTCTTCTCCCCCCACACATTGCACAGACGCTGCAACTCCATTACAGTGGCACAACAGCTTTGCAACAAAACCTCTAGACAGGTATTCAAGTATCCACATAACATGCCAGCCAGGTGAAACAACTGAAGCCATTTGCATTACCTAATGTATGCAACTTGATCCTGACTATCAGCAGCTGAAGTGCTGACCCAATCATCCAGAGCATGGAATCAGGGCCAATCGGAATTTCAAATATCATTTTAAAAACAGAAAATCTGACAGATAAAACAAATCTCTTGACATCACAATAAGAATGAATTTCAAGCTCATTTTTTATTCCTCACATAATTACCATCACTGTAGGCGTAATGGAGAGCTACTCCGTGAATAGAAAACTGTAATGTTGAGACTGCTGGAGACAAATAATTGGTGGGGAGTTTGGCAGCTGTTACAGCAGGTTTTAATCCTTTAACACAGGCACTGGAACCCTGAAATGATCTAGTCATCACCCAGAAAAGCTGTATGTGAGAAATGTCCTAATCAACGTGACCAGACAACAGGCGGATTTCACCCTGACGGCTCTAAGTACAGAGTCTGTGGAAATCTGATTTGAGCCCATATGTGACTAGAGTTCTCACGCCCGCTAGGCGTGTTGATGACTTTCCTTTCGCAGCTGGCAGTGTCAACCAGAAGAAACTAAACAGCTGAGTATAATGTGGAAGGGTCTTTTACATGGAGACGCCACGAACAAAAATGTCTAACTTTATAAAAGGCGAGATAAAAGCCATCTCCAAAGATTCAGACAAATTTGAGGACACAAGCGACAAGTTATCCAAATGACTAACCGGCTAAATGACCGCACTCATGTCATGATGTGCCTCCTGCATGCTCTACCCCTCTCTTAGACCAAGTGAGAACGCTTCACCTGTTGTTGGCTACATGTGTGTAAGGGAAAGAGTTCATAAAGGAAACAGCTCCAGTTACTCGGCGTTAATGCACTCCCAAAAGCTACAGTACTAGTTAAAGTGTGTGCCGGCATGACCCTCAAATATCCTCCAGTGGTCGATCCACGGTGAGCGTTAGAAAGGATCTGCTCAGACTTGATGAAGCTGTGCGGGGTGCACAGTGTCTCTGAGGCGTAGAAACACAGAAAACACAAATGTAGCAGCAATAACAACTAACCATTTACATTAAGACTGCAACTTACTATGATCTGTCAATTCCTTATTAGGCAAAAAAAAAAACGATTTGATGACATTCTTTTGAAACAATCTTCAATTTCACTTCATGTTCACCACAAACATGGAACTATATGGTGTGTCTCCGCGTATAAAGGGGCAGAGCAACACAGTGGTCTGTGGACACAAGATTTAAATATTGCCGTTGAAGTAGACTTAGATTTGTTTACCTCATTAGAATTGATTGAAATATTCTTCTAGATTTAAGTGTCATCTATCTGATGATTAGCAGGGGTTAGACGTTTTTTTTCTTAACTGGAAACTTAAATGATGATTTGAAACTTATATCTTGGAAATGTTCAATATCAGAATGATTAATAAAATGGTCAGACAAACCCTTTTGTGTATACTACAAAACTGTTGGTCTTAACGATGTAATCCTATATTCAGTGTGAAGCTTAATACAACAAGCTAAACAATGAACCCAGCGGGGCAAGGTAAATATCATTTCACATGTAACTGATAGCCTTTAGTTACTTTGAAGAAAATGAGTCAAACTAGATAAATGTGTCCTGTTGTTGTATAGTTCAGAATCAACAAGAGAAGCACATTTTCATTCCCGACAATCTCCTTTTTGAGCCGGTTACTGCTTTATTGTGTACCCAGATACTTTCCTCTATCTTACTTCCTATCAGTCATTTGTATTTTCCAATAACACTTTTTAAATTAGTTAGTGTTGAAGGTTGCCATTTTCTTCTAGACTGGCAATGGATTGAACTTTCTTATTCTCATATGCCTCCACATGTTTATTATGTTGATGTGGTTGAAACATGACATTCATTCTAGCAGGGAAATATTTGCAAAAGCATGAAATAGAATAGGTTTACAGAGATAAAATGTCTTGTGTTTTGACAAACAATCCCAAATGGGCAGTTTGTTTTCAAATCACTAGCTTCACACCTAGACTGACAGGGCCACATGACAGCTGAGCGTTTGAATTATGGAATCTGATCAGCTGACCTGAACAGCAGCTCTAGCATGTCGTACACTATAGTTGCACTATTCCACTGCTGTTAGTAGGCTGCCTCAATGTTGCAGGGTGCGTGCAAAACATGTCTGTTTTGACCTTTTCTTCAAAGCAACTAAAACACCTCCTTGTAGGTCAGGTCATGAAATGCATCAGTTTGATGGCTTTTCTCTCAAGTGGACTGATCCGAGGCGTCTAGATCCAGAACACTTAATCAGCACATCTGTTTTCACTTGAATAAAGGGAAGGAGATTCTATATCAGATAAAACATGTGTTCTGGTTGTTTCTGCAGCTGTAAGGCTCTGCAGGCGCAGGGAGTGAGTGGGAGGGGGTGGGGGACAGTCAGCCTCTCCGAGGCACGGAATGCTGTGGTTTTTTTCAAAGGGTGACGCCCTCTCTTCCCCCATAGCTGGGGAGCTTAGAGAGGCATCAGCCGGGTGGTGTGGAACAGGAGGGGGTTCAGGTCCTCAGCGTGGACGGCCCTGTGGAGCGACGGCTCCGAGCGACTCCGCTCTATTTTTGGCAGCAAGTCTTGAACCTGCTCAATGGATACTAGGATCTGAAGAACCAAAGGTAAGGATTTGTCAAAAGGTTTTGAACACTCATCCTTGCATTTTGAAAAGTTTTTAAGATATGAAAGTTGGAACTCCAGATGGTACACTAAAAACAATAATTGTAAGGCATACACAACAAGATGGGAAATCTACACTCACCTGTGGAAACAAGGGCCTCTCGTCACGTTTGAACTTCAGGCAGTCAATGATAAGCCTTTTCATTGACTTGGGTGAGGTACTAGACAGCTTACTTAGGTCTGGAGACAAGTAACCACGTCCAACCATAAAGATAATCTGAGGAAAGAAAGCAGAGGAAACTGATGCTGAAACCTGACAGAGCTGCTTGTGAAGGGCAACAATGCTAGTGTCACAACAAGAGAAGGTGATTTCAACATGCTTAACTTAGAAGGCAAGGCAAGTTTATTTATATAGCCCCTTTCAACACAAGGCAATTCAAAGAGCTTTACAAAAAGGAAAGACATTAAGAAAATGGCATTTAAAAACAGTCATTAAAAAAAAAAGATAATAAAATAAACATTAAAAGAAAAAAATACATGAATAAAACTTACAGTAAAAGGGGTAGTCCCAAAATAATCATTGGTTTATTAACTCACTGTGTAACACCATGAATTTGTGGAGAAAACTTTGAGGAGTAGCACGAGACTGGTTAAGGAAGAAGTCTTTTAAATGGAGACATTTTAGCTAAATAACTGTAATAAAACTAAATATATGAAAACAAAAACCAAACTAAAACTTGTGAACTATCAAATAAAATAGAAAAGTAAAAGCTAATATACCCTGTGAGCACATAAACACAAGAGGAGGAGTGTAAAGTAACCTGGTCTCTGTTGTTGATATTTGAGTAAGGCAGGGTCCCTGACATCAGCTCAAACAACACAACTCCGTATCCGTACACGTCAGACTGGAACGTGTATGGGTTGGTGTCTTGCATCCGGATCACCTCAGGAGCCTAGGAAAGACAAAAGATACAAAAAACAAAAGAGTAAGCACTACTCAATGAGGTGTAATGACCTGCCAAATCCAAAGTTACACATTGAAGTATTCAATATATAGGCTGATACTTCTTAAATACATCAAATATTTCTATGCTAACATCAGCACTCGTTTCCCCATAAAACCTGCAAGGGTATGAAATGTATCCTAAAAGCGAAGGAATACATGACATAAAAGATCTATTTTTCCACATTTAAATAAAGATATACACAGTAGGTTGCACCACAATTATTTTAGATCATCAAATAAACAGAGGAACTGGGTTTCTATCTTATTATTCAGAGTCACTGACTGTGAAATGTTGTCTATAGCCAGACTGTCATCTTGAAGGACATCCCTATTTTGAAATTGCACATCTAGGAGCGAAGATCGGGCAGGCTCGCTGAAGGAACTATGCGCGAGAATACACTAATGTAGGGCTTCTCAAACTCCGGACCAAGGTCCGGATCGAACTGCAAAGCCACCATACTGTATGTACGTATTGAATGTGTGTGTGTATACAGGGGCGCCGTTTGTCCACAGGCAAGGCAGGCAAGTGCTTGGACCAGAAGGGGGCCCCCAAAGAAAGTAGATTAAGAAGGTCCACAGCAACGACAACATACTAGGGATGCTCCGATCGATCGGTCACTGATCAAGATTGGCCGATACTCACTCTCTACCGATCGATGCTCTCTAAACATGGCGATCGCGAGAGCCGATCGCATGACGTAAAATAAATGACACTTTTCTCTGTGCGTGGCAAAACACGCTCGCTAAAATGGCTTCACCGGCAGGGCTGACAGTAACTGTTGCCAGGTTGCCATTGGCAACCATTCAGAAAAAATGTCAACCACTTCTTGGCCTTTGGTTGCCATCAGTGGCAACCACTTTTTAACATGAAGAAATAAGGACAACAAACAGCTAAATGTGTTCCCCAAAATAGATAAATGTTAAATATTTTTTGTATAGAGTGATATTTAATTATTGTTGTGACCAGTCGGAACCTGATACTAAAGTTGCACGTGCATTGGTGTGATCACGGAGCCAGAAAGCGATGCACGTTTACATGCGTGCGCGGTGTGCCGTGTGTTAGTTTTACAAAAAATGGAGAAGCAAATTAAGTTGTTTGACTGTGGGGTAAAAAGTTCAGCCAACCCGTCAACATCTCAAACGAATGTTCAAAGTGATTCAACCATAGACTGGATTCAACTGATAAAGCGTAAGGTAAACCCAGCGCCATATAGGCAAACCCGAACGAAAAGCAAAGAGGATGTTGTCCATTCACTTCCCGGTAAAGGTTCCTTCAACAATAAGAGTCCCGATCTTATTACCATCAAAATAAAACCTGCAAAACGAAACTTTACCCATAGGAAAATATTGGCATATCAATATAAAATCACACATGTTATCTAATGATAGGTATAGCAGGTTCTTTTAAATATTAGTGGCCCAGGGTTATTCCGAATCCGTACCCATATTAACCCTTAGAAGAGCTCATTAATCCTAGTCTGAGACAAACGACTACAAGCTTTGACAAAAAAATAAGTGCATGAATTTAAAGGTGTCCGGCGGTCTTAACTTTTATAATGCTGTAATCTAAATGTGCAGGGGGCGTTAATTAAGATGAATTAATACAAAAAATACGCATTCTTAATCCACTTTATTTTTGCACCGCGGAACGTTTCTCACTGGAAAGTTTCAGGGGTACCGATTATAATGGGAGCAACAAACTGAATTCAAACAAACAACAACCACAGTGAACATCACGTCAACACTGAACGAACAAGCTGATGAAGACCGTTTGGTTGGCCAGTGGATTGGGACATTTTGTTTTAAAAAACGGACGGATTGGAACGCATCGATAAGAGCACGGTTGTTTGCAAAAGGTTTGCAAAAAAGGATTTGCATATCACCGCAGCACATCAAGACTCCAAATACCTCAAAGGGGGGGGGGGGGGGGGCAAACCTCTAGCAGCTAGTGTGGAAGCTAGCGTGGACGTTGCCCGACTGGAGTACAAGGACCCACACCCAATTCGCGTTGATCAAAACAGGGCCTATGCAACCAGAAGAGATTTTATTTTCATCCAGGATTTGGAAAGAAATAGGAGGATTGGGTCCAATCACTGGGGCACTCTTTTTTATTTTATTTTAAATGGTACAGTAACTTTATTTGAACTATTTATTATGTTGTTTGTGCAACTGGCACTTACTGTCTGAACTATTTATTGTTTGGCCAAGGTTATTGAGAGAGTTGACTGAAAATGTATTAGATTGTTTATAATCACTGTTGGTAAAAATAAAAAAGTTGTATGGCCTCTGAAGCAACAGAGAGTGTTTTCTATAGTCAGGGGTTCCATGTTCTGAATGTATTGAAGTATTCGTTGTTATACTTAAAAAACAAGTGGTTATAGTTTTAAGAAGGGGGAGAACCTACATATGCCTACTGAATCTCTGAAAATGTACTATATTCCCCTAAATATGCTATTGCTACACTTTTGGCAAAATGCACTTTTCTGTTGTCTTGGGTTAAGTTACCACCTTGAAAAAAATAAACAATGTTTTGTTGCTTAAGCTTATGTATTTCAGTCATATATTCATGGTATACTAAAACCCATGAGAAAAAATTCTCTCACTGTTCTGCAGGATCAAATCATTTATATGTGATTAAAAATGCGATTAATCTGGGGGGCGATTAATTAATTACAAGCCTGTTAATTAATTAGATTTAATTTTTTTTTTCGAGTTCGCGGCGGCCCTAATAATTAATCTAATTCTCAACTGTGAATGGTTTCTGCATTTATTTAACATTAGACAATGTTTAGTCTGGCCAATCCAAGACTTCAATGCTGAAGGGGCCAATAGGATCTTGGTGGGTCAGCACAAAGGTCAAGAAAACGCCACATTTGAAAGGGAGACCACGGATGTGCGCAAAGAAACTAGTGACCTAGGGGGGGGGGCCCCCCTCCAATTCATTTGTGAGGGATTGTGTGAAGAAACAACGCGGCACTAGCTGTCTAACTTTTGTATACGCCAGACAATTGAGGTGGACACAGTTTACTACACTTAAGTTAAATTAATGTGTTAATTAGCTTATTGTAAAGCATTTTGAACATTCTTTGTGTTCACGATGGGTTCATTATTAAAGTTGAGTATACGTATAGTATACTTAATATTTCA